TTTTTACTTGCAGCAGTTTGAAGAATTTATCAATTTCCTACATTTTGGCTTTTCATATTTATGGTGGTGTCTGCATGATGTGTAGTATATACTACCAGAATTTATTCCTAAATGGCTACTCCTTTCAAGTAAAACACCATAAGATATTTCCGTGGTTTTTGCTTTTGACATGAGGATACATATATAGTAGTAATAAGTATTTTTTTAGTCAATGTTTGGTTAGTAACTTCCACTTATGTGTATGCCGTATGGTAGGAATCTCAATATCTCGTCATATATCTTGATAGGGGAAATTATTGAGTGCCACTATTTGAAATTGGATCTATGCTCACGTGATAGAGAAAAATTGAGGAGGAAGAAAGCTTAGAGTTTCCATTAAAATTTTGTTTCATTGCACTGGTAGAAAGAAAAAAGGAAATAGTGCGGAGTTGATAGAGGTGAAGAGTAGCTTTATAGTTGCTTCTTGTGAAATAGTAAAACTTGTTTTTAATGTCAATGAACTTCGCAAAATGATTTTTGACTAGCTTACTTCACGCAAATAGACTAAACTGTTGCTGTCATTTACAATCAATTAATTTTCAGCTTAGACCTCTAAAGATTGTCTTAAGTGAATTTATCATATTTCTAGACTTTCCAAAACATTCTCGATAATTTGATGTATCTAGTTAGCTAAATAAGCAGTAAAAGAAAATTGTGGATGTTGCATTGGCTGAGGATAGACAAAGTCTGAATTCAGTGATAGCTTTATGGTGTTGACATTCTTATATTAAAATGTTGAGTTGGAAAATTGGATCACGTTGATTTGTTGCATTACCTTAGAATATACATCTGATCTAGTTTTTGTGGTGTTGACGTTCTTATAGGAGATTAGAGTTGGTTTGGAAGATTGGATCACGTTGATTTGTTACATTACTTTAGAATATACATCTGATCTAGTTTTTGTGGTGTTGACGTTCTTATAGGAGATTAGATCATGTTGATTTGTAAGATTGCATCATTTTTATTTGTTGCATTACCTAAGAATGTTTATCCGATACTGGAGAAGAAAATTAGAGAATTTTGGATCATAAGATATACTTGGGATTCATTAGGATGCTTAATAAGCATTTGATGCTTGTCATATTGACTTGCTGACATCACTGTCATAAAAGAATTCTATTTCCGTAGTGAAATGACTTCTCAAGCTTGAAACTGAGTAAATGGAATTCCATGAATAGGTGAGTGACATCCTATTATTTATTGAAGAAGATGATTACCTATTCTAACTTCTGAGTGCCTTCTGGTTAATAAAGAAAGTTATTGTATTAGCATCTGTTGCAGTACATGTTACTCTGATGTGTTTTTTTTT